GTCTCCACTTGGGCACTTTTTTATGAAAGGCAATGGTGCATGCTTGCCAATTGAATGCAATCTATCAGTTCAACATTTGTTCCACTGCAAAACAAACCCCTCGACTGAGCGACATCCAGGTACAGACAGTGCTAGACTCTACATTTAGGAAAAAAGGCGAATTGATGCAAAGCAAAACGTTACCTGTTCTGTAACATTTCCAACAGTTTTTAGCCGTCCTGTACGATATTTCTCCATGAGCTCACGGACTAACGGGGCTAGGGGTACCTATGATATTAATAGATAAACCTACTGAAAGAATTCAATTTAAGACACAAGAAATAATATAGCAACATACAGTCCTCAAGTATTCTTCCATTTTCCCAGTTTCCTGCGGATGCTTGTCCATGTACGAAACAAGAAGTGACGTGTGTTTATCAAACTAAAATTACACGTAAGTTTTCTGCTATGTAGCCATAAAAAATGGTTTTGACGGAAGCGCTTACAGAGGGTAAGTCTCGTACAACATTATCTACTAAAATCTGTAACTCGGATCGACCAGAACCACTGGAAGGATTCGACTTTGGTAGAACAGCTGGCTCAACTACCTGAAATGAACGAGATGAGTAATTCACAAGTATTGCATCTCCATAAAAAATTAATAATAGTAAAAAATTAATAATAGTAATTTCAGACAATCTCAGTAAAAATACTGCTTCAAACATCATGTTGAAGAAGAGAACAACAAATAATGATAAATAATAATAAAAAGCTAACCGCTCCTGGTAAAGAGACACCCCATCCAGCAGGATTGATTTTTTGACACTCAGCAAAGCATACTTGCATATGTTGTAGGAAGTTGACATTTGGTCGTGGAAAACGCTTGAGCCGCTCCAGAAGCTTCAAACAGGGAGACTCAAAGAGTAAAAACTAAATGTTCACTACCAACCGATGGTCCCATGACAATCATTGCTTGCTCCGTGCACATTTCCACAGTCCGAATTCCATCTCGATACATATTATTTGATTCAATTTTCTAAAATGAAAAAAAGGACGATATTGCTTAAAAAAGGCTTCCAACTACATGAAATAATGAAAGGAGTTACAGGATGAATCTGTTCATAGAAACGATTGGCAGATCTGATGTAGAGGTCATTGTCAATAACAGTTTTGTGTTTCGACATAGTGTCCGCCCATTTGTAAAGGCACTAAAAAGCTTCATATCATGCGGTTGAAACAGACATTTGCGAGAGGTTGTCTCGTCTTCAAAAGGGCGCCAAGTTCCTCACATAAGATCATATAGCTTACTTTTGTAAAAAGTGGAGCAGCTTCCTCATCAGCTTCTAGCAGACTAGTCATAAGACACCGTGTACAAGCTGCGAAGAACGTTGTACGTTCTACGCGAATGCATAAGCGAATTACAAGCGCATTCAGAGATCGGCCAAACTAGAAAGGACCTTGAGTGAGATTTGACAGTGCAATAGTCACAAAGTTACGTGGACTGAATCCGGCAGCGATGCACATATTGGATCCGACTGAGTTTTCAGCAAGACGTGTACAAGTTCCCATAACATTCCATTTGTAGCATCCTCGCCAACATTCATTCGTGCAAACTTATCCGCAGATGCAGTGAGCTGTAAAAACATTCAGTCTGACGCAGGGAAATGAAGAAAAAATGTGAGAACAAAAGTAGATAGAATGGATATAAAAAATATGAGCTCTTGGATAGAACCCTCAAAGATTCAGTTCCCCTTCTCAATCTGTAGCTGACATGCGATTTTGACAAAAAAAAAACAACTTTTGCAACATAGAGGCTCCACAAGCTAGGATCTCAAGAACGGATTTTCGCGGTGATCGCCAGGCAAGAGTATGAAGAATGCACAATAAATAAGAATTCTGATGCATTTGCCTACAATGAATAGTTTGTTCATGGTAAGATGTTTTTTAGTAATTTTGCCATAGGTGATTGAAGCTGTTAATATAGCGGCATCACTTACGTTTCAACTAATTGCCGTCCCCAGAGGAATGAAGTAGTTCAAAATTTGTATTCGTATGCTTGTCCAAGCAGCTCACTTGTCAACCCACAACAAGTTCTTCGATTCCTCCTCAGGAATTACAAACGAAAATCCCATGGCAAGAATAACGAGAAGAAACCGGACCTTACTTCACCGCAGGCGCTAGTAGTGTCAATAAGCTACACGGGTTAGCTTGATATATAGAAGTAATCTACTATCTTATAGAACGTCCTTCGTAATTGCTAAGCGCACACATAGCGTTAATGATATGCAAATCTTTGGAGAAGGTCCAGAAGGCCTAAAATACTTTCTATGCAAAAGTCCGTTTTTAATTTCGTGGTCATCATCACCATGGTAATCATACTTATATTACTGAATAGTCAAGATAAAAAGACTTCCCTTCCTCTTATCGGCTAGTTGTTCCTCCATTCTAAAATCACCCGCCCTTCCAGTTTTCTCGATGTAGCTTGCGCCGCAGGAAGCATTCTACCAAATACGCTAATAATTTGCGCAATCGCCTACACTACCATATTGCAGTGTCGTAAAGCCCCTGCAAAC